GGAGGATCATCTCCAATAGCAGATTTTTTTTTCTGAAGTTTTTATAAGTTCTTTGAGCAAAAAAAAGCACCTTTTAACCTATTTAAAATAAGGAAGCAGTCTCTCGGTCTACTTTTTTGAAATTTGGCATGTGAACATTGTTGCTCAGCCCATTGGTTGTCTCTGGGGTGGGGTTTTTTTAGTGTTGTAGGTGTCTTCCAGGCATTAATTTTTTTCCCTTTCTGTTTTTAATTGTATTTTATAATGTAAGCTGCCCAGAGTCATCTGGAATTGGGTGGCCTCTAAATTTAATTAAATAAATAAAATAGGAGGGGAAAAAATTCTCACAACCAATAGGCTTGGAGGGCAACTAACCTGCTCTGACAATTTGGAGGACTTGGACATGTCAAGGATTTATGAAAAGTCAGAAGGAGTCAAAAACCATGGTCCCATGCCAAGGCTGTAGAGCAGAAAATTCCCCCTGCTCAGAGGGCACCAGAGAAGGGCAGCCAGTAAATTAAGACATTATACCAAGGTTAGTATCAGAAGTCCAATTTAAGCACCTTTGGGTGCTGGGAGGATGAACATGGGTAGACAGCTAGAGGTTAGCAAAAGTCAGATGAAATAGTCTTTAGTACGCCAATACATTTTCTCTACAGCAAGTCCTTCAAGTTCCAGTAGACCAAAAACTTCACATAAACAAGAGCAGTAAGGAAAACAAAAATCATAAAAGCAATATGTGATTGTACCAATGGTGCTTGCTAACCTGGAAATTCTACATTTGTCCTCTGCACTGTTTATGTTCCATTCTGCTCCAGTTTCTCTCTCTTCAATTGGACCTGGAAGACCACCTCACCCCCAGCTCTGGCTTCCCATAGAATACCAAGACTCAGTTCTCACAAACAGAAAACAAAGCAGGAAACCTTTTATCTGAGCTGTTCTACCTCACAGACAAACAAGATAGGATGCAGCACATCAGGAGTCAAATCTAGGCCTGGGTTAGCATCCGACTCTTTAGCAATTCAGCTGCAACCAAGAAGCTGGCTTTAGAAAGCCACCATTTTAAAATTTCTGTCTTTAATTTAAAAATTTAATTAATTTAACTTTAAAAAATTCTTTTTTATTATTATTACTTCACAATTTGCTTGTGTTTATGAACATATTATAATTTTTAAAAATTTAGAAATGTATACCAGAGATGACAATGATAATGATAACTGACTGATGGTGATTTTGTCAATGTTGATGGTGTTCAAGTAGTGCCCCTGACTTAGGTAGAATCCCAAAACATCTGGAGCACCACTTGAAGACG